TGTCTCTCTCTTTCTGTCTGACCAGCGCACGCGCCCTATAGCAAAAATCTCTCTCTCAAAAAAAAAAGGAAAGTACAACTATAGGGAAGATTTTAAGCATATGAGGGGTCTTTAATATATCTTTTGTTTTGTTTTGTTTTGTTTTGTTTTGTTTGTTTTGTTTTTTGGAGAGGTTTTCGCTATAGGGCGCATGCGCTCGCCAGACAGACAGAGAGAGACATAGAGACAGAAAGCGAGAAATCACCCCCCGGGGGGGATGGTAACGCCGCAATCCCTTCTCCTCCACTCTCCTCTCGGGATCTTGGGCACGCATGCACACGCGCCTGGCGTGAGTTTTAAGCCACTGGGTCTGCGACGCGAACTGTGGTTGACTACGTGGGAGTACAGCGACATAGCCATTACACTAACTGCTGGTTCCCATGAGTTTATAAACTTTTCTGCACCAAATAAACTCATGGGATTGAGTGTCTGGGACAAGACTCATACACTTAGAAATTTTTTTTTAAGAATTATTTTATTGGGAACCAGCAGTTAGTGTGATGGCTATGTCGCTGGACTCCCACATAGTCAACCGCAGTTTGCATCCCGGACCCGGTGGCTTAAAACTCACACCGGGCGCGTGTGCGTGCGTGCCCAAGATCCCAAGAGGAGAATGGAGGAGAAGGGACTGCGGCGTGACCATCCCACCTGGGGGGTGATTTCTTGCTTTCTGTCTCTCTGTCTGTCTGGCGAGCGCACGCGCCCTATAGCAAAAAATCTCTCAAAAAAAAAAAAAGAAAAGAATTATTTTATTTAACTTTATTTATTTATTTACTTATTTAAATTTGACCAGCGAGAGATGAAGTAAAAGAGAGAGAGAGAGTGGGAAAGTGAGAAAGCAAGCCACCAAGTCTGGAACTCAAACCATGGTTTGCCATGTGGGAGTCCAGTACCCTTAACCACCACACCACCTGCTGGTTCCTTGAATTTTTGTAAGAAGCAAACGTTGCTTATAAAATCTCTAACTTTCAGCCCCTTGAATGTACCTGGATTGAGAGGAGTGGATTTTCAAGGCCACCTCTGACTCTCACAGCAAAGCCTCACTATGACACTATTGCCTGCTCATCACTTACATCTCAGTCATTTATGTCAAACAGCCTAGGAGCTGGCAGGTACACTCCTGGCTCTCAACAGCCAGGCTCATCCCCCAGAAGACAGGAGGTACACCTTGGTACAGATTTCCAACTGACAGGCAACTTGGATACTCTTTGGAGCAGCTCTTTAAGCTGCCTGATAGCTGCTGCCCCGGTGGATAACAGGCAACCCCACTCTCCAGAGGTGTCATGGCACACAGAGTCTCATGAACAGCACTGGCCCCTTTTCATTCATTTGTCACCATGAGGCTGGGAACCATGTGTCCATGTCCCATCCACACATTAACACCAACCTCCAGAGATGAACGTGTCAAAGATGATCTGGGCTCCATTGAAGAAATCGCCAAACTGAGCCTCCCAGAGGGGCAGTAACTTTGGGCTTTCGATGCTCATCCCATATTCAAATCCCAAAACAGCCTCTTCTGACAGCGGGCTATTGCTGACCTAATCCCAAAAAAAGAGAATGAATGACTTGTCATGAAAAGGAACATTTGACAGGAGCTAGCAAAGTTAAAGCACCACATGTATACAAACTTCTCAGAGGGAGGAAAGGCATGTAGGGAGTCTTTGTTTTCATACACCAACACATTCCTTTGAGAAAGATCTACATCTCAATACCGATGATGTCCATGGGAAAGGCTGGGAGGACAGAGGGACAAAAGGCCAGCCAGCTCCATGGCACAGTAGAAATGTATAACTCAAGAAAAGTCATATCTCAGGGCCAGCCGGTGGCATGGTGGTTAAAGGCATTGGATTCCCACATGGCTGACCATGGTTTGAGTCCCAGAACTAGCAGCTTGCTTGCTTCCTCCCTTTCTCTCTCTCTGTCTCTCTCTCTCACCCTCTCTCTAATCAAATTAAAATAAATAAATAAATAAAGTTAAACAAAATAATTCTTTTAAAAAAAAAAAGAAAAGTCAGGTCCCACGTGGCAACCACAGTTTGAATCCCCAACCCAGGCAGCCTGAAACACACCAGGCACATGTGCAACTGCCCGAGATCCAACAGGCTGGAGGACTGGGGGAAGGGATCATGGAAGTTATCAGACCCTGTAGAGGGTACTCCTAGCTCCTTCTCTCTCTCTCTCTCACTTTCACATGCACATGCATACTCTATCATAAAGAAAGAGATAGAGTAAAGAGGTTGGAATATGGTATTAGCCAGCCATGGTGGTGCAGTGGTAATGCAGCGCTCTGAGATGCTGAAGCCAAGTGCGAGGGCCCCGTGTTCCCATCCCGAGGTTTCCTTGTACACGCCGAGCAAGTATGAACATGCTCCTAATCCCGGAGAGCTGAGGCTGGGGACCTGCTGGGGGTGCCTGTATCTCTTTCACTCTATCTTTGTCTTTCTTTCTCTCATGGAAGAAATAAATAGATGACAGCAAAAGGAATAGGGATATTAATTTTCTTCAAGGATAAGCAAATATTCTTCTCAGATGACTCATCTTTGGAACTGAGAGTAAAATTGTCATATAAACTTTTTATAAATGCCATAAAACTAGGAAAGTTACAAAGCAAAGGCCCACCTTAGTAAGAATCTATTATTCTAACATCATATTTGCATCATGAGTCAAATAAACTATCATGATATGGTAAGATAAAAAAAGCAAGTCAGGGCTGGCAGGTGGTGTAGTGGACAGAGGTGCTGGATTCCCACAGGGCTGATGACGGTTTGAGGCCCAGACCTGGAGGCTTGCTTTCTCACTTTCCCTTTCTTTCTCTCTCTCTGGTCAAATTAAAAAGAATAATAATAATAAATAGAACTAGGGGCCAGCAGGTGGCATGGTAGTTAAAGGCCCTGGATTCCCACAGGGCGGATGATGGTTTGAGTCCCGGACCTGGTGGCTTGCTTTTTTGCTTTTCCTTTCTTTCTTTCTCTGTCTGGTCAAATTAAAAATTATAATAATAATAGCTAATAGAATTAAATAAATAAATAATTATTTAAAAAATAAATGGAACTGAATAAGTAAATAATTCTTTTTTTTTTTTTCCTTTGGAGAGGTTTTTGCTATAGGGCACGCGTACTCGCCAGAGAGACAGAGAAACAGAAAGCAAGAAATCACCCCCCAGGGGGGATGGCCACACCACAATCCCTTCTTCGCCATTCTCCTCTCGGTATCTTGGGCACGCATACACACGCGCCCGGCGTGAGTTTTAAGCCACCGGGTCTGGGACGCGAACCGTGGCCGACTACATGGGAGTCCAGCAACATAGCCATTACGCGAACTGCTGGCCCCAGTAAATAAATAATTCTTTAAAAAGAAAAAAAAGCAGGCCAGCAGGTAGCATGGAAGTTGGCACTGGATTCTACATGGCTGACTGCATGGTTTGAACCCTGGACCCAGAGGTTTGAAGATCACGCCTGGCAAGTGTGTATGCATGCCTAAAATCCTGAGGAGACTGGAGGAAAAAGGAATGGAGCATGACCAGGCCACATTCTGGGGTGCTTTCTCCCTCCCTCCCTCTCTCTTCTCTCTGTTTCTTTCTGGCAAGTACATGTACCTTCTGGCAATTAAAAAAAAAAAAAAAAACCTAGGTCATTAATTTTTTTTTAACAGCTAGGTTATTTCTTTATTCCATGAAGAAGAGAGAGACAAAGAATGAGACTCCACACCACTGCCAGGATTTTTTCTTTTTTAAGAATTATTCATGAGGCCGCCAGGTGGCATGGTAGTTAAAGGTGCTAGATTCCCACATGGCTGACCACAGTTCAAGTCCTAGACCTGAAGGCTTGTTTTTTCACTTCCTCTCTCTCTGTCTCTGTCTGTCTCCCCTTCTGATCAAGCTGGAAATAATAATAAAGAAAGTTAAATAAAATAATTCTTTTAAAAAGATTTTTAAAATAAAAAAATAAGAATTATTTACTTAGGGTTGGCAGGTAGCGTGGTGATTAAGGTGCTGGACTCCCATATGGCTGACCACAGTTCAATTCCTGGACCTGACGCTTGTTTTCTCACTTCCTCTCTCTCTCTCTCTTTCTCTGTCTCTCTCTCTCTGATCAAACTGGAAAATAATAATTAATAAAGTTAAAGAAAACAATTCTTTTAAAACATTTTTAAATTAAAAAAAAAAAGAATCATTTATTTAGGGGCCAGCAGGTGGCATGGTGGTTAAGGTGTGCCACCATCTAGTCCCCAAAGTTATATCTTTATACCCTATTATCTGGCAATAAAAAGGATTGAAGTTTTTAAGACATGCTGCACCACTGAGGGACCTTGAAAAATTATGCTAAGTAAAAGAAGCCAGTCACCAGGCAGGTAATGTGGTGGTTAATGTGCTAGACTCCCACATGGCCAACTGTGATTTGAGTCCTGGACCTGGCAGCCTGCTTTCTCATTTTTCTTCTTTCTCTCTCTGTCTCTCTGGTTAGCACACATGCCCTATAGCAAATTTTTTTTAAAAATAACAGTAAGTACGATTAAATAAAATAATTCTTAAAAAAAAAAAAGATCAGTCATAGAGGCCAGACTACATCAATCTATCCACATAAAATGACCAAAATAAGCAAATAAAAGACAACAAAAAGTAGATTTGTGGTTGCTGGAGGGGCTGGAGGGAGGATGGTTTGGGTAGTGACTGCAAAAGGGCATGAGCTTCTATTTGGGATGATTAAAATATTCTGAAATTACACAGATGGTTGCACAACTCTGTGAATATTCGAAAAAATTGCTGAATTGCACAAATTGAAAAGTTCAATTTTATGAATTATATCTCAACAAAGCTTTCATTTAAAAATAACCTCAGGCAAAACTGTACTTCTAATTATAACTACAAAAATTTGTATGTATGAATAAGAACTTGATGACACATAAAAAAATGAAAACAAGTGACTTATAAGCATGATGGGGTTATGTATAATTTATCTTTTGGATTTCTTTCTGAATTCAATTATAACATATTAACTTTTTAAAAGTATGCTATAGTTCTCAGATTTACGTGTACGTCATAAAATGGGTTTGGACTGGCCACTTTACTTCTATCTCTATTTGCCTTCACCCCTTCCTCTCCTCTCTTCCCACCCAAGGCTGACATACACATTTATGGTCAGAATCCATCCTTTCTGCTTTTTCCAGGGCCTTCTTTCTATTTTTCTCCATTCCCTAACCCTCCTTTCTGAACCTTTCCTCACTGGCTTTGTTCCCTCAATATAATCAAAATGTTTAAAGATTAAACAAGGAACATTTCCCTGGAGCGAGCCCTGTGTCCTAATGGTAGAGGGAGCTGGATCCCACATGGCTGACTGCACGGTTTGAGTCTCCAACAGACTTTCTTGAGAAATGCACCAGGCACTTGTTCCTGGATGCCCGAATCATAGCAGCATGGAAAAATGGAGGATTGTGGCATGACCAAGTTGCACTAGGGGGTGCTTTCTCCCTCTCTCTGTCTCTTTGTCTCTCTGATGAGGGCACGGGTCCTCTGGAAAATTTTTTCAAAAAGAGGGGCTGGGGGACCAGCAGTTAGCATAATGGCTATGTCGCTGGACTCCCATGTAGTCGACCACGGTTCGAGTCCCAGACCTGGTGGCTTAAACTCACGCCGGGCACGTGTGTGTGCGTGCCCAAGATCCTGAGAGGAGAATGGAGGAGAAGGGATTGCAGCGTGGCCATACCCCCTGGGGGGTGATTTCTCGCTTTCTATCTCTCTGTCTCTGTCTTTCTGGCAAGCGCACGTGCCCAATAAGAAAAATCTCTCCAAGAAAAAGAAAAATAAAATAAAAAAGAAGGGCTGGCAGGTGGCGTGGTGGTTAAGGGTGCTCACAAGACTGACCACAATTCAAGTCCTGGACCTGATGGCTTGCTTTCTCACTTTCCCTCTCTCTCACTCTGTTCCTCTACGGTCAAATTAAAGTAAAATTAATTAATTAATTAATAATTCTTAAAAGGAAAGGAAAGGAAAGGAAAGGAAAGGAAAGGAAAGGAAAGGAAAGGAAAGGAAGGAAGAAAGAGAGGGAGGGAGAGAGGGAGGGAGGGAGAAAGAAAGATTTCCCTGACTCAGTCTTTCACAGTCATTGCTTCCTTTCACAGTTTAGCTTCTAGGAAAAAATAATTTTGGGATCAGCAGGTGGTACAGTGGTTAAGACACTGGACTCCCACATGACTGACCATGATTTGAGTCCCAGACTCAGTGGCCTGAAAATCACACTGGGCGCTTGTGCATTCATGCTCAAGATACTAAGAGAAGACTGGAGAAGGAGGGATGGAGATGTGGCATTGCCCCTGGAGAGGTGATTTCTGACTTTTTCTCCCCCAACCCCTCGCAGGAAGGACATAACCCTATGGCAAAAACTTAAAAATAAATAAATAAATAAATAATAATTGAGGGGAACAGCAGGTGGCATGGTGGTTAAGGCGGTGGACACTCCCACATAGTCCTAGACCTGGTGGCTTGTTCTCTCACTTTCCCTCTTTCTCTCTATGTCTCTTTCTGGTCAAATTTTAAAAATGA